ACACTGGTGAAAGAGCTGACAAGCCTGTATGATCAGGAAGGGTGGCATTTGCTAACAGCTGCCCGAGCGCCTCCGAAGGACGGTAACCGTACTCGTCGAACTCGACAAAGAGTTCGCCGTGCAACCTAACCCATGAATCAGCTCGCTGAGTTTCTCGCCGGATCTTCTCAGCGGGTCGCGATTCCGATCCGGTAGTAGATTCATTCGCGAAGCAGCTCCTTTTTTTTATGGTTGAAGGATTACTGGTGGCCCGGAGGCCTTTCCAGTTTCACCAGGACAGATGGGCGAGCAAAGGCTCAGCCAGGAGGGGTGGGATTTGCTAACAGCTACCCGAGCGCCTCCGAAGGAGACCTAACAGCTCAAGAGTAGCTGCTTCGCGAATGAATCTACTACCGGATCGGAATCGCGACCCGCTGAGAAGATCCGGCGAGAAACTCAGCGAGCTGATTCATGGGTTAGGTCGCACGGCGAACTCTTTGTCGAGTTCAACGAGTACGGTTACCGAGGTCCTTTTTTTTATGATTGAAGGATTACTGGTGGCCCGGAGGCCTTTCCAGTTTCACCAGGATACAGAAGCAGCTACTCTTGAGTTGTGATATATATAATAGAATACATAGTTTTTAATTGATTATTACGTCACTTTTTGAAATATTACCTTCGATCTCGTTGAAAAGAGTTAAATCATTCGTAAAGGATACATTTATTTCAGGTGCGCAGGTATAATGCTTTCGACGGAGTGTCTAATTTTCTTGTTGTGCGCTGCGTCAGCATCGATTTCTCAAACTGACTGGGATCTCGAAGATAAAATTTACGTGGAAGTTTCCTCAGCAAGCTATGAGAAAGCCATAGCCACAGCACAAGAGCTGGTCTCGAATAACAAAAGCACCGTAGTACGCGATGCAGTGAAATTATTAATGCACAACAAAGTCCGAAATTCAATGGAATTCGCTTACAAAGTGTGGCAGTCCGGCAATACGGAGATTGTAAAAAAACAATTCCCGGTTGCGTTTGAGACAATTTTAGGCGGAGATTATGTGAACTTCATAGACTATGAATACGGGAAAGCTTTAAAGCTCGGCTACAAAACAGATCGGAATGCCGAGAGAACAGCTTACGGCGATAAGTACGAGAGGATCAGTAACATAGTTGCGTGGAGGTTATTGCCTTTTTGGGAAGACGGTAGACTATTTTTCAAGATTCTTAATAAGGAATACAACGAATATTTGAAGCTGGATACGATTATAAATCACGCAGGGGACCACAGGGCGTTTGCTGGCAGTTCGCCTTCGGATGCCGCGTACCACTGGTACCTTCACCCAGTTGATTTTTTGGACCGGACCTTGTTTTTTGTCTATAACAGGCAATACAGACAGGCCCTGAAGCTGAGTCGTCAGACCGGTCTGGACAGAGATTACAATGTTGTCGGACACAATGGCGACGCCATTAACGACCTCGATATCCACGCTTGGTCCGTTTCGTCGTTGTGAATAAAAATTTGGTTGTAAAATCATCGGTTTTATTAGTTAAACCAAATCATCGAATGATCAAATCCGTTTCTTATTTCCCAATTTTTCAATTTGTTTAGGCAGCATTAGAACTAAAAGTAAGTTATTATTGGAGTCGTACGGTAGTAGTTGGACGCCTTTTAATCCTTTCGGTGCTGAGATTATTTTCACATATTTTGCTTAAGTTGTGCATGTTTTTGAAAAATCAAAGTACCTTATAAAGACTTTAATTTAAAAAAAATACAACCAATAATGCTTTTAATACTGTTTAAACTATTATATGTATGTATGTATGTATGTATTTGTAAATTAATATAAATTTCATTGCACCTACCACTATTCACTCTGCATTACCTTTGGTTGACTGGTAGAGAATGCCTTAGGCATTAAGTCCGCCAATGTAATTTTTACATGAAGTGTAATAAATAAATAAATAAAATAAAAATAATTTTATATAGTTATGTATTTATAAAGGTTATTATTAACTTAATAAAAACGTTATAATAATATGTACATGCACGCGCTAAGACACGTCTGTACAGATGGTTACCTAATACCTATAATCACACTGTAAATAGTCGATATTCTGACGCTTCGCATTTTGTATGCGTTAATAGAGTCGATTTATCGACGGTCCGCGCTCAAGGGGTTAAGCTTTCGTTCACTATCCGTGGGTACATAGGTTGATGCACACTGTCACGAGACTTTAACGATATATGAGTTAATAACAACCACTTAACATATATATATAAACGGCCGTCTGGTGTAGTGGTAAGTGACATGGTCACTACACAAGGGGGTCGCGGGTTCGAATCCCGCCAAGGGAAGATATTTGTATGATAAATATGTCTTTCCAGGGTTATGGATGTATATAAAAATATATGTATGTGTATAATAAAAATCTTACATTTCTTTCCGTTATCTGGTACCTGTAACACAAGTTCTTTACGAACTTAGCACGGGACCAGATAACGTGGCGTGATTGTTAGTAAATATTTATATTTATATTATACTTGTTTATTTTAACATATATTTGATAAATAAACGTTCAATCCTTCGTGAATTGTGGGTTTTAATCCAAAACTTTTATGTAAGAAGTATTTTATAGAGAAGTTTATTTTCTTAATGACAGGCGCAGATCTTCGCCTGTCATTTCATGTGAACAGCAAGAGTATTTCTGTTGTCGATTTTTTAAAGTATTGTAAATCCAAAATTTGAAGTCGTCGTGGCCTAAGGGAGAAGACGTCCGGTGCATTCGTGTTGAGCGATGCACCGGTGTTCGAATCTCAGGCGGGTACCAATTTATCTAATGAAATACGTACTCAACAAATGTTCACGATTGACTTCCACGGTGAAGGAATAACATCGCGTAATAAAAATGAAACCCGCAAAAATTATAATTTGCGTAATTACTGGTGGTAGGACCTCTTGGGAGTCCGCGCGGGTGGGTACCACCGCCCTGCCTATTTCTGCCGTGAAGCAGTAATGCGTTTCGGTTTGAAGGGTGGGGCAGACGTTGTAACTATACTTGAGACCTTAGAACTTATATCTCAAGGTGGGTGGCGCATTTACGTCGTAGATGTCTATGGGCTCCAGTAACCACTTAACACCAGGTGGGCTGTGAGCTCGACCATACATGAAGCAATAAAAAAAAATTAATACTATTAGTAGAGCATGTGAATCATTGTTCCTACTATATATGCACTGGTACATATTCGTTCTTATAAAATGAAATAACAAAATCATTTTCAAATAATATATTTTATTTACATTATGAATTGTATCATAGGTAGTTTTTGAACTAGGAATATTTATAATAATATTATAAGCTACAATAATACTAAAAATTATATATATATATTTATGTTCGTATTTACAATATTTTTCTAAGTTTAATTTATTTATTAATAATACCTATATTGCTAGTTTCATACAAAATTTTGTATGATATTTCGATTGTAATTAAATAGCTTTTTTCTGTTGAAGGATTGAGTTTTCTTACAAATAAATTCAATTTATATCTGATTATGTTCAATATACTATGTATACATTTAAATGTTGTACAATGTTCTTATAAAATCAATGATAAAAAAATTTAAGTCCATAATCATACGTAACATGTAGGCATGTAACAATGGCTTTGGAATTTTGATAATATCCACGTTACAATTTACCGATCTGACCTTCAATTTATCAAGAATAATTCCTTAACGCGATCATCATACACATTTGACACAAAAGAGAATCGTACTAAATAAAATTTGAATAGTATACACATAAAGTAAATAAAAAAAAAACACTTGTGCTAATTTAAAACTAGGATGAGATTTTTTTTTTATGTTTCTCATTAATGTAACGTTGAAAATAATTGTAATAAAATAATTTGTTGTTTTTTAAAACAAAAATAGACTGCACGTACTAATGTAAAACTTACCAAGTGTATTTTAAAACGTTCTCGAAAAGGAAGATAAGAAAACACGTCCTATAGATCACGAGGTGAAAAAACCGAGTTTTTTTTTTTAATTAATTACATTACCCAATGGCATCACGACTACAGTTGATAGTAGCAAAATAATAATATATATTCGATATAAAGTGACGAATTCTGATGGCACCGCTAAACTTATTTATTTATTTCATTTTTTGCTTTGAATATGAGTGGTAGAAGAAAGGAGTACCATCTTGTATAAGGGATAAGTTGAAAAAGTGTCCACCTGTAAATAGAGCAACTCATTATTCGGAGACTCACCGAAATAGCGCTATTTAGTATAGGAAGTGGAAATGATATGAATATACCAGTAAACAGAGAGATATGTGCTGGATTCAAAAAAAAATGTTATATTTTTCTTGACTTGTGTAGTTCAAAACAAAGCAATATTAAAATCTCAATGATGTATCTATTTTTACTAGAGGTCCAGTCGAAATTCGACTATAATTAATTGGAATTGTAAGTTTGTACACTATTATGATTTTATTTTCAACGCCAAGACTACAACACTATAGAAAAATATAAAGACAAATAATATTTAATCTATTCTCAGTTTGACCGCAGACGTCAAGAACAAAACTTTGACAGTAAATAGTATGCATGCGTGTGTGCGTCAAATACATGGTATGTAGTGTGAGTAATGTTTTCCTTATTGATTTAATGTATCTTTTATGCATTATTTAAAAAAAAAATTAGCATTGTGCACTTCTTCTCTATATTATCTATAAGTGTGGAAAATTTCATACTTCTCCGTCCGCGCAATTTTCGTAAAAAGGGATACAAAGTTTTTGCTTCACGTATTAATATATAGATTACTATTAACGTAGGAAATGTTTCTTTTCTTCTTAATTAAAAATTCGACTCGATTAGCTTATTGCGCTGTTTTTAAAATCCTTCCACATGCTACCGTGGCGCCACCTTCATTTTCTCTCTTTCTTAGAATACTTCTTAATACCGTACAATGGTGCTCCTTATTTTTACCCTCCATCGTTTTCGAGAACGTTTTCCAAACACCCTGTATAAAGTTGTACCGTCCCTAGACTTTGTTACAAGCGGCTCATCAAACGCCCCAATCTCACTTCTAAATCGCTCCTAGTCTTAAGACCTGACTTGATTCGTTTCCATTAAAATAACAGTAAATTGCATATTAAAAGATAATAAATTCTTAAATATTAGGAATGAATTTTCCTTATAAAATGTATCTACAGTTTTGTTCATGTAAAATATTTACAAAAAAAAAATATGTTTTTTTTTTGTTTTTGTTTTTTTGTTTTTAGTTTTTTTGAGCTGACTTTGAGCTTTAAAACTAAATATAAATATATGTGTGTATCGAAAATTCGTTAAATGATTAAATAATTGTATTGAAATATACTTATTTATCAAACTTTTAAATAAAAAAATAAGGGGTTAAACGAGATTTATATATATTTAGGTTTGGTTTGTACATAGTTGAGTTTCTACCGAGCAGTTGAGGTTTGAACCTCGCGTCTCAAAGCTAAATTCACATTGCGGTGTGTCGGGCGGGCTCGAGTGGGTCAATATGGAGGTCCCAAAAAAGATTTGAGCATTTATAAGTTAAATTTTCACGAAATATAACAGTTTTGTTGCTAGTTATCTACCAGGACCGCATAAATAGCTTGGAGTTTGAATTGTTTCGTTGTTTCGTTTTAACCGTACTCAAAAAAGGTTAGTTAGTATTTAAATTTAGAATAAAATCGTTTGGGTACCAGGACTTCATAGCCACAAAGAGTTTTTATCTACAGGTAACCCTCTTATGTATAACACGGTATTTTACAACAAGATTTCACTCTAACACGAAAATTTTTTTCCCAAAACGCTTTTATAACACAATAACAAGATTTTTGTTAAATTTATTTTGAAAATTACATTATGCACTATGAACTCACAATATATGGAAATGACCGAAAATTTACAGCTTTTTTATGTATAAAGGTATAAAAAAACCTTCATGCTTTCGGTATATGAACCATTGTACTGCGGACTACATTGTATTGCGGACTAAATAAAAATAAAAGCAGTTGAATGGAATATTTTAAATGTATTCAACTGATAATTATTTTTAATAATGTATTTTTTATTTGATTTGTTTTGCTAATTTTAAGTATGTTTCAATGATGCTATGTACACATATTAACTTGTTGTTGTCTGAAATAAAATAAATCATTCATTCATTCATAGATGAGGTGTTTCATTCAAAGAAAAAAAATCTTTTTTTTGTATTGGCTTCTAGTTTCATATCTAGTTTCATTTTTAAGAACGTATTTACCGTTTCATATGAGGGTTACCTGTATTTTAATGTTTCTTAGCAGATTTTATAGGATTTGGTGGGAACGCGATTAGCGGAGTTGTGTGATTTTTTTTTTTAATTTAGAGTTTATTCAGATTTATATGTGTAATAACGGTGGTTTATTAACTAATTATTTAGCATCTGTGGAAGTGCACGAATATAGGGAAATGAAACAAAGCCGTTGAACAGAGCTTCTCGATTTCTTCCAAAAACTCAAGTGAAAAAGTATCAGTAAATAACCACTACTATATCATTATCTAGTTTCATTTGATTGATTAAAATCCCGAATTAAATCAATTTCATCACATTACGTTTCAATTAACAGAATATTAGATTTGGCTTAAAGGTCTCGTTACCGGGTTATAAAATCTTCAAGAAAAAAAAAGCAGATTCAAAGTTTGCTACTTCTATAAATATGCTCAAAAACTGTTGCGAATACCAGGATAGCAATAGAATCGACACGTTGATACAATGTAATATAAAACGCGAACATTTGTGTACCGGGACTACATAAATCTTAAGAGTTGATAAATCTCTTAAGTTTTTTTTTTAAATCTTATTTTTAGACGCCAAATTTCGGACAACTATAATTGATTTGTTTCGAATTAAAAAAATGGTGCACGTGCAACTTGGTGAAACTTGGTGTGAAAACCACATTAATACGCATCGCAAACGAAGTTTCGGTTCCGGTATAAAATATATATATCCGGTATAAATCGGGTATAAAAACGCAAAACAAAGGACATTTCAATTGACGACACATAAAACACAATTATCTATGTACCAGGAGTACATGAGCCGTAAGAGCTGACACGTTCCGATATTTTTCGTTGCGTGGAATTGGAGGTGTCGGGTACCAGGGCGGCAGCAGATCATAAGAAGCCCGTGTCGAGCGCGTTGTACAGCGCCGCGATGTCGGAGTGGCTCGACACCTTCCAAAGCGGGTAAGTTTCACTTCAAAAGTACTTCGAATTACGATTACTTAGGGTTTTCGTTATCGATCCAATTTAATTTCGAATAAGCGATCGATTAATCAAATCCGAATCCTGAGCTTCCGAAATCGGGTATAACAACGCAAAACAAAGGATATTTCAATTGACGACACATAAAACACAAATATCTTATGTACCAGGAGTACATGAGCTTTAAGAGCTGACATGTTCCGTTGTTCTTCATTGCGTGGATTTGGAGGTGTCGGGTACCAGGGCAGCAGCAGATCATAAGAAGCCCATGTCGAGCGCGTTGTACAGCGCCGCGATGTCGGAGTGGCTCGACACCCTCCAGAAGGGGTAGTTCTTGGCCTTGGCGGCGGCCTCCTCGTCCTGGCCGTCCCCTATGACGACGTACGTGCACCGCTCGCCGAAGCGCTGCTTAATTTTCTCGAAGCAAGTCTCCTTACCTGAGGCAGCAATGTACATCGTTAAATAAAATACAACCGCAATGTAAATAGCTAAATAAAAATCAACAACTGACTACCCACCACTTTTTTAATTTTTTTATTGCTTAGATAGGTGGACGAGCTCACAGCCCACATGGTGTTAAGTCGTTACTGGAGCCCATAGACATTTACGACGTAAATGCGCCACTTACCTTGAGATATAAGTTCTAAGGCCTCAAGTACAGTTACAACGGCTGCCTCGCCCTTCAAACCGAAACGCATTACTGCTTCACGGCAGAAGTAGGCAGGGTGGTGGTACCTACTCGTGCGGACTCACAAGAGGTCCTACCACCGGTAATTGCACAAATTATAATTTCGCGGGTTTAATTTTTATTACACGATGTTATTCCTTCACCGTGCAAGTCAATCGTGAAAATCTGTTAAGTACATATTTCATTAGAAAAAGTGGTACCCGCCTGCGGGATTCGAACACGGGTGCATCGCTACACACGAATGCACCGGACGTCTTATCAGTTAGGCGACGACGACCTGTACCATATACTACTACCAGATGGGTCCCGAGCCTGCCTATCTAGAGCAAACTAAAATAAAAAATACTAAACTAACCCGTTTTCGTGGCGGAGTATATATTTTCGATAGGAAACACGCCCCCTAAGCCGAAGAGCAGGACTTTTGCCAAAGCCGGGACGAGCTGAGTCGTCGTCACTAAAACATTCACGCAGTTCTCTCTGTAAAACAAAATTAAAATTATTAAAATAAAATTACATACATTAATACTCAACCGAAACCCATTTACCCAAATTACCTCAAGTTTTCTTTTTACTGGGTTTAAACTGTAATAAGCTCAGGGCTTAGTGGTGGTTATCATACCCGCTTATCATATCTATGGCTATGGCCCTACTATGGCCCTTTTAATAACTTTTTAGTAGGGCTAGAACTATTAAGCTTTGTGGCCAAAAGTAAGCTAGATAGATCACAAGTTCGACCACTAGCATTCAATTTGGAAAAGACTTAAGAAATTCATTGATTAAAAAACTATAATTTAACCGCATTCGTACAATGAATTAAATATACATATTTATATTCTTTTACATTCTCTTACTCTCTTATTCATACTTTGTATTATACTGTCAACAGATTCTGAGATATTTATAAGTCTAACTTAGCAGGCAGATGATTTCAAATCAATTTCATACTTCCATCGGAACAGATATTACTCAAACTGGACCGATACAAATAAGGTAGAACATAGTGAGGACATACCGAGAATTAATCATATTCAGACACTTGCAGGCTAATGTTAACCAGTTATCCGTGGCCTGTTCTAGTTCTGCTCTCAACTGTAACCACTGTTCTCTCTTCGCTGGCCCTAGGAGCCCTCCAACACTGAAATATGAAATGTTTTAATCATAAACTGGTAAAAAATGGTGGTAGGACATTTTGCGAGTCCGCACGGGTATGTACCACCGCCCTGCCTATTTCTGTCGTGAAGCAGTAATGCGTTTCAGTTTGAAGGGTGAGGCAGCCGTTGTACTGTTAAAAGTGAGACCTTACAACTCCTGTCTCGAGGTGGGTGGCGGTATTACGTTGTAGATGTGTATGGGCTCCAGTAACCACAGGTGGGCCATGAGCTCGTCCCCCCATCTAACCAATAAAAAATAATCTATAACTAAACATGGACACTTTCTGAGCACCGCAATGTGTGGATAACACGAATTTGTTGAAAGTACTCAGGTGCCAGCTGGCGATTCCGAGTGAGATTAGAACAAATCTTGAAAAGCCCTTACAAGTTTAGACTCAATTCGGATAAAAGACACGCGAGTGCATACATGATGAACAAGCGTACTAACAAAATAAATTATTGTATATGTTACTAGTGAAATCCGATCATGCTCCGCTGTGACAGTCACTTAACAAGAACATTTACATTATTGATTAACAGATTCTGGCTGTTTTATCTAAAACAGCTCCATCCCACCTCTTCTTGTGGGTATTGTTATGGTGACTATAGGATCACCTAAGAATCGACAGAAACGTTCTCTGATTATTACAAAAGTATACCTGGTGTACCAACCTACATTACTGATGGTAGTGCATATTATAAACCAACACAGGTATTTACCACGCTCCTACCTATTCCTGATGCGAAGCAGTTGTACTGGTCCAAACGATGGGTCAGCCGTTAATAACATATTTTTTTAAAAGGGATTTTATGACCTGGTAACTAAGACCTTTAAGTCATGTCTTATTTAATTTATTTTCTTATTTTAATGAAAATTGATACGGTAATATGGAGTGAAATGAAATGAAGATGATTATTAATCATCTGAAATATAATCTCAGTAAAATGGTGGTCAGTTACTGATATTTTTTCAGTGGACTTTTTGGAAGATCGCGAGAAGTTACGTCTAGCGGCTTTGTTTCATTTTCCCACATTTGTGCACTTTCACAGATAATAAGCACTTAATAAAACACCGTTATTACACATTTAAACCTGAGGAAACACTAAATAGGCAAAATAAAACAAATGACACAACTTCACTCCTCGCGTTCCCGCCCCAAAAAGTCCGTTATGTAACATAATTCTAGTTAGGTAACAGATCGGTTCAGTAAAGCAGTGAAAGGGTCCAATTAGTTATTTTGATATCGTTCAACGAATACTGACCTATTCCTGTAATTATTGTAGGTGTCTTTGATCTTCCTGTACCGGAAGGCTAGTTTCCTCATCCAGTCGACTCCGCCTCGGACCCCAGGCGCACACAAAGCGCCTCCCGCCGCGCCCGCATGAAACCCATCAGTTGTGAAGTTGTACGCAGAGAGATCCTGGCCATTATCATCGGCTGATACTGCGTCTATGTGCTCCTGGTCGCAATCCTGAAGTTACAATATTTATTATGCATTGTTGTCTACTATAGATTGTTGATAGGGTGTATTATAAGCTTGCATGAATTGGTTCCTTCTTTTTTTTTCCTTTTTTTTTCCACCTAAGCTGATAGCCTTGAGAGGTGAGATATTTCAGCGGAACTTTAACTAGTAGGTGAGCTCACGAGGCTCAAACCTGACGAAGTTGCTAACATGAACCCTAGCAAGAGCCGTGCTTCGCAGAATCTACCACCGGATCGGAAACGCGAACCACTGAGAAGATCCGGCGAGAAACTCAGTGGGCTGTGTCTGAGGGTTAATTTACTCGTTGAGTCCTTCGTCGCAAGCGACGGGTTCGACGAGGACGGTGACTGGTGCTTGAGGTACCTAAAAGCACCGTCAGTGGATCGGCAGGATCCGAAACGACGTGTTTGGGGCGACGTCGACTGTTTTCCATTCTTTCAGCAGGATCGGGAATGAATTGGTACCATGCATTGGTAATACAATACAACTGAGGCTTCATGTCTAAAGATTTTTGCAACTATCACATTGTAAGCCCTCTTGTGGGTCATTGACCCTTTGCTAATTCCATTAAAAATTGCCTTTCACTTGCCTTAATTGTTTGTTTTATTTTTGGTATTTCATTTTAATGAAATGAGTATATTTTATGTTGTTATGTTATATTGACACAAACTTACCTCAACATCATTGAAAAAGAAATGTGTATCAGCCAAGCTGAATATCATTTCTTCCATCCTAAATCCTAATTGCACTATCTGTTGCGTATCCTGTAATTAGAGTTATCACACAATTTACAATCGAAAACTACTTCAGTACTTCAAGGTGAGATTGGATTTTACAGTATCGAATATGGGTCTCGTGCAAATGTGTTTGTTTAATTTTAAATGTATTGTATTTAAAAGATTAGCACCTGTGCTATAACAATTCAGGCCTTTTTGATTAACTAATTTGAAATAAATTTTCTAATAGCAAATGTTAGTGAAACGAAAAGCATGATGTTAATTTAAAATCAATTTAATATACATAGACAATACTAGAATAGATTTGAAATGGCAATACTATATCATTTTCACGAAATAACATATTATTTGTCTTTTTTTTTAGAAAGATAATTCGGGGTGAATTACAACATAACATTGATGAATTATTTGTGTCAAGAAAATAGAGAAGACATATTTGCTATTATCGAGTTATTGCTTTAGTGCATATTTTACATATCTTCTCGAAAATAAATGATTTGTATAATGTACCTTATTGTACTTAGTAGCATAAGTTCCAGTGAGCAACGAATGGAATATAATTATAGTCTCGTCCAAATCCCATATGAAGACTCTGTCTGTGGCTGGCTCTGGGACGTGCTGGGCTGGCGACGATGAGGTGTTCCTGCGTCCTCGCCCACGAGACCTACTAGCTGTGCTTTCCCTGTTGCAGAGGGAACTTTGGATTTATACTTTTCATAATAACATTTTAATTGAGCTTGTGATATACCTTTTTTTATTTTAATGTATGTATAATGTTAGTACTGGCTTGTGTTTGCATTTACATGTGCAATCAAATATTCCACTTTTTAAACTTTTATAGATCTAGATGGGTATGGGAAGCTCATTTTCCGATTTAGAATTGAACTCAATTCTGCTTATGATCAGTCAGTCATTTGTCAGCATTCTTGATAATGAAACACAATTCTAAATAGAAATGAGAAATGGCTATACAAAAATTACCCAGAATTCTCTCTACATCTTCTGCTGGCCGCGTGTACTTCAGCTTTAATCGGAGATAATGGACTCGTATCACTAATCGATGGCAACATTGATGATGGTGAATCTGTGAAAAACAACTAAGATTTAATAATAAAAAAATTATAACAGGAAATGTTCTAATTTTTATAAATATATAAGATAACTGTACCCATCCGCTTCCTTGGGCATTTAAAAGTAACATTATTATTTCTCACCCCCACAAAGATTCTTATCATTAAAGCCCCCACAACTGGTGTAGGGAGTCCAACACTCATATATTAGCCTATCCATTAAGTACATGTATTTACTACATAGATACCAAGTTTTAAGCCAATCCAAATTACGGAACATTCGTAAAAACCACTGTAGATTTATATATTAGTATAGAAGTAGTATAAAATATTAATGAACCAAAATACAAAATGAAGCTGCTGTCTTTACTGATATAAAGAAATATTAGAAAGCTTCTGTCGAAAACAACTTGGAGTGGTCATTTAAGAGCTCAAATGAACTATTTTACTCGTTGTCATAATGTTTACAATGGACTAAATGCATTATCAAGGTTATGTTTTCGTTGTATATTTCATTACCATCTCCGCTCTCCGACTCGGGCCAGTAATCTGAATTATCATCTATGTTCTCGTAGTGATCACTCGAATCATCTTCCGTAAGTTTCCTACGCTTATTTGAGTTCATATTCATATTTTCCTTGTCCATTTCCGTAATTAAAGGAGTCAAGGAACTCCAATGTTGGAATGTTACGTAAACTTTGTAAATAAACTTAAAACACCGTAATATGGATGCAGCTACATATATGTATTATTTTTTTATAATATTAAATAAAAGTATCTGCTTATTTTGTTTTCTAAAAGTTTGATCAGATGTTTGAAATTTTTAGTTGACACTTGACAGTCGACATTTTAATAGAACTTGTGTAGGAACAAAAAAGAAAGCAAATGTTTGAATGCGTTTGTAATGAGTGTGAACGAGATAAATGTAAAGCATTATATTGCATTTGATTTTGTGCAGCATTGAGCTTCGGCTGTATCTCTGGAGTATAAGAGGCAAAGGAAACGTAACCACAAGTTAAAAATTTAAAATTCAATGTGATCATTTTCTGTTAATATCAATGTATTTCTTTTTTTTCAGTTTTAGGCATTACATACTATTTTTTACGCTATATATAACACCACAACATAATATTATTCCATCTTTATTCATCAATACACGTAATATTTTATTTGATGGATTGGTAGGGTATCTTGTGAGCTCGCACGGGTAGGCACCACCACCCTCTCTATTTCTGCCGCGATGCAATAATGCGCTCCCTTTTGAAGGGTGGGGAGCCGTTGTAGTGTAAAACTACAACTGAGAACTCGTGTCATAAATTATATTTACGTTTTCGATGTTTATAGACTCCGGTAAGTATTTAAGACCGAACACCCGTCAAACAACAAAATAAAACCTATTATTAATAAAAAATGTGTGCGTGTACTAGTGTACACACGTAAGAAGTGAAACTTGTTTATGGCCTTATTTTTCGAAAAATGATCTACATGCAACTTTCTAGAAATTGGTTAAATAAAGTTAAATTAGATAAAGTTTAAACAAAAGGATTTTATTATCATAGACATGAATACAAAAAAGTTAAATTAGATAAAGTTTAAACAAAAGGATTTTATTATCATAGACATGAATACAAAACA